GGCCTCATATTACACTTATAAAATAAAAGCAACTTCATAGCAAGTTTTCCCCTCCACATCATCAAAGCAGCAGTCATACCTTCCCATAGGCCCATCCTTCCTTCCTTCCCTCCTATTATCAGGATGAAGAGCCTCTGCTCCTACCAGCAGCACTGACTCCACATGCAGTTCCCCTCCCATCCCTCTCACTACTCCAAGTTAGGTTGTTTCCTGCATCCCTAGTTTGTTCCTTTTAGCTGGATCACCTCCATCATTCTGCAGTCTGCCCTAGTAACCTCCCATCTTACAACAAATACTCCACTGACCCTACATAATCCTCCAACTGCAATTCCATTCTCTGCTCCCTTTACAGCAAGACTTCTGGGGAAGGATGTCTGTACTTACCAACTCCATGACCTCACCTCCCATTGTCTTTTCAACCCTCTCTAATCTGGCTTCCATCCTTACCCAGCTGAAACTGCTCCTCCAGGATTTTTCCCACGACTCCTCAGTGCTAATTCCGTGATCACCTTGTTCATCTCAGCAGCATTTGACAAAGTGAACCACTTCATACTTTTAGCAGTTTTTTTCTCCCTTGACTTTTCCTTATTTGCATCCTACTTCAATGACTGTTCTTTCTCAGTCCTTCTTGCTCACTCTTTCTCTGCTATTTAATTTCTAAATGTGAGAGTGCCTCAGGGATCAAGTCTATAATAATTTTATATACTACATATTTTATTTATTTGTTTCTTCTCACCAAAATATAACTTCCAAAATGACACAGGTTTTCCCACTTTTTAAAAAAAATTGAAATAATCTCAATCTTTCAAAAAATGTAAAAGTACTGTACAAAGATCTTTTATTTTTTTCAGAACTGTTTTGAGAGTAAATAGCCAACATGATACCCAATGGCCCTGATTATATTGGTGTGTAATTCCTACAAAGACATTCTCCTACATAAAACCTCAAAGCAATTATCCAAATTAGGAAATTAACACTGATACATTACTACCACCTAATCATCAGATTCCACTCAATTTCAGAGATTGTCCCAATAAGAACCTTCGTAACAAAAGCATCTAATTCAGAATCATGTTGTATTTTGTTTTCATGTTTTTTAAGTCTCTTTCAATCTGGATTGTTTCTTCAGTTGTTTCTTTCTGGACTTTTTATGACCTTGCCACTTTTGAAGAGCACAGACTAGTTATGTCATAGAATGTTCCTAAGGTTTTTCTGGTGTTCTTTCGATTCCATTAGGTTATGCATCTTTGGTAGGAATACCACAGAAGTGATGTTCTCACTGCATCATTTCAGGTGGCATGTGTTTTGATTTGCCCCATGACTGATGATGTTCACTTGGATCACTTGATTAAGGTGATGCCTGCAAGCCATCTTCACTGTAAAAGTATTTGGGGAAGAGGTGCCTTGAGACTACTGCTCATCACATTTTCAGTTTGTTTTTTTATTTAGAGACAGGATTTCACTCTGTCACCTAGGCTGGAGTGCAGTGGCGTGATCTCGGCTTATTGCAACCTCTGCTTCCTGGGCTCAAGCGATCCTCCTGCCTCAGCCTCCTGAGTAGCTGGGACTACAGGCACGCGTCACCAGGCCTGGCTAATTTTTGTATTTTTAGTAGAGATGGTGTTTTGCCATGTTGCCCAGGCTGGTCTCGAACTCCTGAGCTCAAGCAATCTGCCTGTCTTGGCCTCTCAAATGCTGGATTACAGGCGTGAACCACTGTGCCTGGTCATGCATTTATTTATTTTATCAATATGGACCCATGGTTTCTATTTTATTCAAATCATAAGGAGTTATAGTCCATTACTATTATTTATTTTGATGTTCACACTGTCCTCGATTTGGCCAGTGAGCCTCTGCAAGTTGGCTTCTGTGCCATTTTGACATATTCCCATTATTCTTCAAGCACTTTCTTGTTTTCTGGCACAAGATATTCTAAGGCTCACCTTGTTCCTTCCTTGCTTTCAGAAATGGACTAGGCATTTCTCCAAGGAGCCCTGATTCCTCAAAGTGCATAATAGTATTAAAAACAAGATCTGGGCACTAGGGTGTCACTGTTCCCAGGCCCTATCAGTGAACAGAGCTGAAAGATATATGTATTTACACTATATTTATCTCTACATCTATCTATTTATATTGAAAAGCATGAATCCACACCAGTATCTCCAATTCTAATCTCACACCACAGGATTCACTCTAGTTTTCTTCTTTTCCATGTTTTAACTCTCTTCTCTGACAGTAAGAAACTTAGCATCCATTACACTCAATATCCTTAAAATGTGTCCTTAGTACATTTATGTATTTGATGGGTTTGCCTGTATGTAACCAGTTTCCCAACTCTGCCCAACATTGAGTGCTCTCCACTCAGGCTCTGACATCCCTCAGTGGGTTGCTTCCTTCCCCCACACCTGGACACCCTCCTTACCATGATACATCTCTGATTTTATAATATGCTGAACCACTGTACTGATAGGAAGAATAGAAATTTTTCACTCA